CAAATATGTTTATGCTTATGAATAATCTTACTGCTTTTCAGTGCTGTTACTACTAGTCCCTGGTAACTTGAATAATTTGTAAGAGTTTGTGAAACTTTTTCTGTGTATTGGAGGCTTAAAATTAAAATTTTGATCGTCAGTTATTGGGAAATTATTTGGCTGAACAGTTACATAATGGGATGCTAGTGTAATTAATGTTAATGGAGGACTAAATATCCTGGTCAGATTTCTACAGTCAATTTTTTCATGCCATACATCTTCAGTAGTAGGTGTACTGTTAGACATAATCTGTTTGGTTAAGGAACAAAATTCCTCCCTTCTCTAGCTCATGGGCAATAGAGAAACTTTAACAGCCTTTAACAGAACAAATATAGTACTGGTTAAACATGGTTACTGGTTCTCTTGGGATTAGGGACATCTTAAAGAACTAGATACTAAAATAGAATAAATTTTAATGAAATACCATATTCTTGATAATTATTGGCTGTGTTCAAACTACTGTTTGTTTGATTGCTTAGAAAAAACAGAGAGAACTTGCCAAGATGAGAAGGTGTCTAAGACCAGAGGAGATGACTAATCAGTTGAACCAAATAGACCTAAACTTGCAACGTGAACAGTTAGAAGAGAGCTTCCAACAGCTTGTTTCAGATTACCGAAGAGTCCTAGAACGACTTGCACAAGCATGAGGATCCTACTTGTACAGGAAACTTGCAGATATCTATACAGTGTTGTAAAACACGTCCTTAATTGCCACTTAACTGCAAAAAAATCTCATGTGACGTTTTAATCACATTAAAGGTGACTTGTGTTCCGGTGCATTTTGAATATTTTCTATTTTTGTGTTGTAGATTTAAAAATGTACTTTAGGTTTTGGGGCACTTCTTGATGAAATAAAAAATGTAGATTCTCAGATACAGTGTTATTTCAATTGTATTAATTTTCTTTTACCCTTTTGTTTCGATCAAGACTTAATAGATACTAGAATAGCAAGTTAATATATAAATCTAAGCAATCTCAAATTTCTCCTAACTTGATCCTCCTCAGGCTGTTCTCCATGGATCCTGTTGTACAGTGTAGGGCCTGTCCAGGTTTAATATCATGAACAGGTGACAAGGTTAGTTCTGTGGTCTCTCAAGTGTTTCCTGTGTGCAGACTCTTTACCTTTTGCTAAAAGTGGATCCTACTGTTGAAGACCCATTCTCTTTAAGCCTCTAAAATACCTCAAGCACATTCTTCTTCAAACCCCCAAGTTTTCAGGTTTTTGATTTTCAGGGAGAAACCTCATAACTGGGGTACCAACCAGGACTTTGTGAGGACTCCAAAAACACTTCTACTAGTGAAAGAAACAAATCTGTAGGATGCAACTGCCTTGATATAGTTCCTTGGCTCTGTTCCGCTATCCATTACTTCTCAGACCTGAGGTTAGTTCATAAATATCCTGTCTGTTCTCCCTCAAAGGAATAAATTGTTACCTGTTCTGGTAGTTCAGGCTTTAGAGGACTTAATGTGAATAAGGATCATTGAAATTTATTAACTATGTTTGATGGCCCTAATGGGATTCAGGTCTAGCTTTCAAAACTGGAGCTTGTAGGATGACCGTTCTCCACTATCTGATGTGGTGTGGAAGAAGTGAAATAATTTTTAAGTTTCAAATCTGTGGGATTTTTTGTATTTTCTATTAAATTACTTTCAGAAATTTAAAATTCAGATGAGGGTATCTTGGCTGTATGGTACGTCTTTCATCTACTGTGGTATCCAAATCTATTAATCAATAGTAGCAATTGTTAAAAGACCTTTCCTTGGTAGTAATAGTAAGACTGAGGTTAAGTTGGGAATTTGGGGTTTCGTTTTTTTTCTGTGGATGGTTTTGGTTTTTACTGAACATGTTCATATCTTGGTGATAAATCAGAAGTGGGAAAGCTGAACTGAAGAATTGTGCTTAAATTTGATTCCTGTGTAGAGGTCCAGGATACTTCTGGGGCAGCCTGCAATAACACTCCTTGAGCTTAAGCCATTGAAGAAACTGTAGGACTGACAAGAAGAAACACTACCTAATGGGCTGTTTGCCCACTTAGAAATTACTGAGCCAAAAAGCGCAAAATTGCTTTCCTTAATCACAACTTCATTTCCTATTCACACATAGCAAATCTCTCACACAGTGATGCGGGCATATTCATTTTTTCATAACAGATTAGATTATCTTTTTTTCTTTTTATGTTGACACAGTTAAAAGAGTTTGAATTAGTGCTTGCAGTTCCTTTAGTGGTTTCATATTCCAGTATGGTCTTGGGAACATTCTAAGATGTTGGGATGTGCCTTTGAACTGCAAAACTTCTTGGCATGAAAAATAGGAATACACTGCTTCCTAGAGGCCTAGTAGAAATTGAATCCTTCTATACTGCAGCAGATTACAGCTTCTGCAGCTCTGCTGCGAGGAAAGACCTTGTGAGTACACCCTAATCCATTACAGTAAATTAAGCCAATTATCTCAAGTAATCTTCATCAGCAAATTAAACTAGCCCTGCTGACTTTGCCTGAAGTGGTCTTAACTGTCTGGACTATGCTTTCCCTTGGCAAAGAGAAGGAGGCAATAATCTTGTTGGACAGCTAGAAAACTACAACAGCTCTTCTGACACTACTGGGGGGCACATGCCAGTTTCCTTCAGCAGGCTTGTGGGGTGCATCTGTTCAAGCTAACATTTCAGGGACTATGCATTTGTGGTATAATTGACTAAATCCCCACATTTCAGCATGCTGCTGGACAAAGTCCTAGCTTGCCAGTCTGGATATTTTGTTCATGATTTTCAACAGGATAACTTCACCTACAAGTGAACTGCAAGATGCTTGTCTCAGAAGTACACACAGCAGCAACGCCAGCTGTTCAGTGAGTCATATTGTGAAATTAAAAAGTATTTATAAAAGTATAAAAACTATTTATAAAAGTTTAGTAAGTTTGTGTAATGTTTGTGTTTCTGTATTAACTAAGAACAAGAACCTCCTACTATATTTAAACAAATACTTTGTGTTATAGTACACAACCGGTGTTGTTTGACTTCTGTGTGCTGAGAACACCGGTGAGCTGCTAACAGCTGTCTGTATGGAATTGCAAGTAGGTACTGGAGGGGTTCAATTGTGTGGATTTGTGAGCTGACAAATTAACACTGAGGCTTAGTAGCAGCTCTTTCACTCTAGGCTGGGGGCATGAGAATTGGATAGCTGAAGTTGAATGCTATTGGAGCCCTCTTATATTCTGGGCACAATATGATGCTAAAGTAATCCTGGATTTAAAATATTTTTGTTCAAATACTTAATCTGCTATTCTAGGTTTCTTAAGCACTATTCTTTTCAGCTATTACTAGCTAACAGAAATTTAAAGCAAACACTAATAACAGTCTTATTAATAATAGGTTTATGTGACTTTTTTTCTGCATTTTGATAAAATCCAGATTCAGATTCTTTAGTCACTTCACTCAAATTTCAAGTGAAACTTTGCACAACATACTGATAAAGCATTTTAAAGAGTTTTTTACATTCAAATATTCAGAATGTACATAGGATCCTATTTATAAAGTTTTTCTTTGCAGATGCTTCTGGCATCAGGGTGCTGATTTGCCCTTCCATCACTTAAAAATCCAGCCATGGCAATAGTGAATCTACTTCAAAAAATTCAGTAAAATAGTTAATTTAGTTCAATTGACAGACACAAGTTTTCTTCCAATGTAAAGGTATTGTCAACGATGCTAATACAAGATTTTGTCCTAAGAAGTAAATAAAGCTCTGAAAAGGGTTTTATGTTCAGAAACCTAGGTCAAACTGTTCCCTTTCAGTTTGAAGCATAAAAGTTACCTACTGCAGATACTAGGAAACAATTTGTTGTTCAACAACTAATAATCTCAAGAAATACAACAGAATACCTATAGCTTCAGAACTGAGAAAGCAAACTACCAGAATCTGCAGGATTTGAAGGACACCAACTGCTGTAGTTGGAGGAATAAAGGTCTGTGTGTCACTGAAGGAGTTTCTTGGGCAGCAAATGTCTTTGCTTCCTATGAACCAGCACACAAAGCTGCTATGTGGCAGTTTAGGCAATTCAAGAGTGACCTATTGTCTCTCTCTGCAATAGCAGCAGGAGGGTAAGCAGCCCATAATGTCTGTATGAAGGATTTGTGTGTGCTTATATAGATTTTTTTCAATTCCTTTTTTTGTCTCTCACTGAGACTTTGTTGTTCTTTATGCTTCTCCTTGATCATATTTTATGACTGTTAGACACTAGAAAGCTTGAAAATCTTATGTTGCATATTTTGCCATTTTACTTTTCCTCACGGTGTCAGTTCTGATCTGCTTTCTTCAGTATCAAACTGTTGGAACTAGAAATACCTGTTACATTGGTAAGCCTATCATATAAAACCCTGGAGTTTTAGTTTTCAAATTTAAAACCATTCTGTAATGCTACTGCTTTGTGAAACATGCTTGCTAGGATAATTTGGACTTGAAGTTGAAAAAAAAAAGACAGCATAATAAATATTAACATTGACATCTCACAAGCAAGTATGTATTGCAGATATTTCAATTTTCTGGAAGAAAAAAAACAGCCTAAAGTCATAGAAATATTTTCCCCCATGATTCATGATTTTTAAAAATTTCAGCTGGTTTACACTGCTAGCTCTTTTCTCCAATTATCAGAATGATTTCAGTGTAACCCTAGGTTCTTTCTATTAAAATATTCCATTTACAAAAGGCAGGTAACCACACCAATGACAATATTTAAAATTATGAGGCTAAAAATTTAGTCCAGCCAGTAAAAATGGAAGGCTGTTACACAAAGCAATACAAATAGATGCAAGCGTGGCTCAGGCAGGGCATGCTATCTCCCATCATACTGGCTTAAAACTGGTAGGAATAAGCTTGTCTCCCTATTACTTATCTTTTTTACAATGTAGAAAGAAAAATAATACAACTACCAGTTTCTACTCATAGCTATTCATTCAAATGCATGTTTACCAGGTTCCTTGTTGCTTGCACTAAAGCCTTCAGTAATATGCATTGCAAGAAACAAGATTACACGCTGTATCTGAGCTTCCTTTTAGATCTAGAATGGTACAAGCTAGGTACAAAGGATAATTAATCTAACAGTTTTCATATTTCCATGTTCAAATATGTTTAATTCTCTAGACCAGAGGCGGAGAGAAAAGGTTGGAAAAAAATGTTCTACATTGACTCTTCAAAGCTCATTTCAGATATGAGGCTCCCACCCAAACTGGAGGAATCTCAGGTAATGACACCATGAAGACAAAGCCTTGGGAAGAGGATTCAGAATTCCCTCTTTGCTGTACAAAAAATATATATAGCAGGAGCAGTACTGTGCACTGTTTTTTTTCTGAGAGTAGCACTACCTTCTTTCTTCAGTAAATAAAGAACAAGTAATGCTGTAAACATTGCTCACACAGGAGGTATGTGCTCCATTTGTGGTTGTTGCACAGTTTGAGCTGAAGAGATAAAACGTAAAGAAAATCTAGATCAATGGGAAAAGCTTGACATCCCTTTTTTGTTTCTAAATGGCAGGGCAATAAGGGAGATATTCCATGTTCAATAGTTGCTATTTTTAGATGCTTCCCTTTTCTCTAGTTAGGTTTTTCTCTGAGCTATATGGGGTGTTCATGTTTTAAAACTTCATCATTTCATAGAAAATAATAAATCTGCCTAGAATTAATTTAATATGATGAGGACCTATAAATATGTTATTTTTCTTTCCCTGAAGTTGTAATGTAAATTTTATTTAGTGTAGCTTTACCTGGTTATAAATATTTTGTATTACTAATGTAGGAGATTTCTGGGCAAGTTCAGGGCTCCAAACTCTCTCAACCTGGATCAGATGAACATCAGAGCTGAAAAAAAGAACACCTATTTGTGATTAGAGTAGGACCCAAACAGCACCAGTCTCATCAGCAAAAGCTGCTGTAGAACTAAATAATCTTTTAAGACAATCTTAGATAGGAAAGTCTAAGCCTAACTTCAGAAGTTAAGATCTAAGCCTAACCTCAGCTACTATAGTTAAACTAGAAGCTTGTTTCTATATTGCTCTATAAAAGATATTGTGTATCACAAAATACAACTCTGTTGACTTGCAGGCTGTTACAGACTGCTTTGAAACTTTCATGTCAAAACCTAACTTTGTCTTCTTTAGCACACATAATTTTAATATTTTTTAGCACAGGCTTATTTTAATATCAGCCTGCCCAATTTAGGGAGGAAATAATGTTGAGATTCTACATTTAGTGTTTGGTGGCTTTCACAGCACAGAACGAAGTGAGATGGGATGTGAAACATTACTCAAGGAGAGTCTTTCACACAGATGTGTTGAATAAACCCTGGGCTGAAAAGTAATTTCTCCAAAACTGCCTCTCAACCTGACACTCCATCTTGAGACATCACTGTCCATGTTAAATATTTCAGGGGGATTTGTCAATTCTAACCAAAAGACAATTATACACATAAAGGAGAAAGTGATGTATTGCTTTTGGTGACAATTTGAATGCAGTGAAGTATGATTTTTTCAGGTTTGCTGTGTTAGGATCTGGTATGTCTCTCTTTTCAGAGATATTCACCCCCATTTTACTGCTATAAAGGTCCTAAAAACTATAAATGTTGTTTTTATTTCTTAGCAAAAGAAGAAAACCTGCATCTAAGCATAAATTAGAGACAAATGAATAATGACTGTTGTTAGGCTTAAGATGCATCCAGAGACTGCAAAAATTACACAGTTTGCTTGAAAAGTAATTGATCGTAATTTGATTGATCCTCTATTTTCTGGCATGCAAAAATAATTGGTCCAATCTAACCACTAGTCAGTACCTACAAGTATTTGTGAAATAGCCTGACACTTAAGGACAAGGTAATTACAAAGGTGGTAGCAGCATAACTAGAATTGCCTCCATTTTCTTATGCCATCAACCAATTTTCAGGCTGTTACAAAAAGGAATTCAGGGCTTACAGATTCAGAAAAAAAAACAAGCATTCACTTCATTTTCTCTAACAGTGGCCTCATTCTACTGAGTAGGAAATACTTGCTGACTCAAGCAAGAAAGGTGAGACTAGGCCACCTTAGAGCTCTCTGTTTTTTCTCCTTTAGTGACAGTTGAGGAAAATGTGGCTAATTACTCACCATACATGGATACTTTCATGTGAAGTCTCTCTAAGCACACACAGGGACTCCAACTCAAGAGTAAATACAGTTGCATTGGCCAAGCAGCAGAATATGTGACTGCTTTACACTGCCCACTGATGTTATAGAAATAGTGGTTGTGCATCTGGATTCCTAAAGTCTTGCCAAGATACAAAAGAGGATAGAATGAAGCTCCTGAAAGACCATACTCCACTGTAGAATTAGGAGGAAAGGGAAGACGTGCACATTTTGGCCCTGCAAATTAAATGTGCACATAGCTCTCACCAGCGAGCAGTGGGTAATGCTGCTCACAACGTGTAACTGATCAGCTTAGCAATGCTTTCTCTGCATTTATTTATATATGCTTATTTCTGTGAAAATCTTACCATTCTCCCCTCACTGAATAATGATGAAACACATCAATTCATGCAGAATGTGGCTATAAGATGTGGAATAATTTTTTGGAGGCAGTGTAAAGTATTGTATTGATCTTTAAACTAGTATGTAGTCTGGATATAAGCTATATGATAGGCTGCTTGTCATGCTGTGGCAGCCAATTAAGAGATGCACTTTTACTAGCAAAATTTAAGAGGATCACAGCACTTTTTTTTCCTTTTTTTTTTTTTTAATCAGAGAGAATGCTTGGAATTTCCTCCTTAAAATCAGAACTGCGTCAAGTGTAACTTTGAAGTTCATACTTCCTGGAGAATTTTTCTAAAGCACGTGTAGGTAAATATGCTCAGCATTCCTATCCGCCTTGGGCTTTGAGTCTGTTCTTAACTAAATCATAAAACTTGTACATGGTAAGTTAAAAACTGCTAACAGCTGTACCAGGAGGTAAATAAATCTGGAGATAAACAGCCTCAGTTCTCCTTTGACAATTTACTTACTTATCCCCCAGTTTACCACTGTGTGTGTACACATGAATGTATGTAAGGACGCAAAGATCAATACATGTGTGTGAGGATGTAAGAAAGGATTATTTGTATTACTTTTATATTTTAGAATGCATCCAGGTGGGTTTTGAATGTCTCCAGAGAAGACTGCAGCCCTTCCCCGGGCAGCCTGCTCCAGTGCTCTGCCACCCTCAGCATAAAGCTCTTCCTCATCTTGAGATGGAACTTGTGTTTTAGTTGTGGTCATTGCTCCTCATCTCCTCATCCTTCCCTTGGCACCACTGGGAAAGGTCCAGCACCATCCTCTCAGCACCTGCCTTCGAGATACTCCTTGGCATTAATTACTTTGTGAAGAGTAGTTCGTATTTTAGTCACAAAAATACAAGTTGAGGGGAAGGTGGTGGTGTTTGCTTGCTTAGTTGGTTGGGTTTTGTTTATTTTTTAATGGCAAGAAATTATGAGGTTGCTCCAGCACTCATGGATTAGTATGGTTGCAACCCATGCGGGACCGAGTCCCACTTCTGGCAGTTCTGTCTCGTGTCTCCCGCTGGCGGCAGGAGCAGTCACCGGTCCCGCTAGGGATGGCGAGCTGAGCGGGATGGGGCTTAGAGAAGGGCAGTCGGCGGCACCGCGGGCACCGGGAGCAGCGGCGCGGCCGGACCCGCCCGCCGCCCTCACAGCCGGCCCAGGGCGGGCGGGGGGCGCTCCCGCCACGCGCGGCCACGTGACCTCCTCCCATGGGCAGCATGGCGGCGCCCAGAGCCGCCCGCGCGCTGCGCAGCGGAGGTGAGTGCGCGCCGCCGCCGGGGCGAGGCGCGGGCCCGGCCGCCGCTCTGCCCTTCCCTCCCCGGCCGCCGCTCTGCCCTTCCCTCCCCGGCCGCCGTTCTGCCCTTCCCTCCCCGGCCGCCGCCGCGCCGCTGCTCAGGCGGGGCTCGCTCTGAAATCGAGGAGCGAAAGGTCCCGCCGCCGCCGCGCCTACCGAGGGCTGCGAGCGAGCGCTCCGCCGGCCGGGCGTGCGGAGGCGTCCGGGCGGGGGGCGGCGTGTGGCGGCGGGCCTCGGGAGCGGCCGCAGCTGTCAAGGCTCGGCTTCTGCCGAGGCTCGGCTTCTGCCGAGGCGGGTTCCCCCGGTGCTGTGCTCGGCCCGGCGCCGGCACACGGCGGCTCCCGCCGTCCCGGGGACCCCGCGGTGGGGGAAGGCTGTGGGAGCGTTTTGATCTCCTGCCGTGGTGATTTTTGCTGCTGAAGTAACCTCACATAAATATACGTGTTTCTTCTACGAGCCCGTTCAAGTGCAGAACTTTTTACCTGCTGGCATGCCCGTCTGTGGAATGGCTTTTCAGAGCCCCTGGTCCCCCTTTTCCCTGAGGTTCTCTGACACTTTTTCTACCGCATAACTTTTCACAAGCTAAAATCATGTGCCCATGTCCTACATTCGTATTCAGCCCCATGCGCGCTTAAAAACCCAATGTCAGTCATCCAGTTAAAAACCTAGCGAATAACTTTTGTTAAGCCTTCCTACCTTCCCTTCAGGCATCAAACCTTGTTCAGCCTCCCTAGGGGATATGCTTTTACAGAGACTTGAGAAAGTGAAACTGTCATAGTTAAGACAAGACTGATTAAATGAAATCAAATTTTCCCTAAATCGGACAGTTCAGTATAATTTAATTTGCAAATACTGAAAGACAAAAGTAATTTAAATTAGGTTTCTGTTCACCTAAGGGTATCTGTTCTACCTTACTTGAACAAAAATTACTTTTTTATAGCCTCTTATGTGTGTTCTTTTTAATATAACTGATGTTACATTTTTATAAATGATGAAAGTTTTCTTTACTACAGACTTGTTTCTGCATAAGTACGTTTGAGCAGCAGAGATCTTGGTAGTTGTATACTGATTAAATGCTTTCTCCACATATCGGAAGGACTTAGGCTAGCCTAAAAAAAACTTTTATTAAAAAAGAAAATAGACTGAAAAATACTAGGAAATTAAGTACTTTTCAGTATTCATGTAGGGAAATTATTTGAATAGTCTGCCTTGCTAATGTCAGAATTCAAACACTTTCAACCCTAGGAGAAGGCGCACAACTCTTTAGGGTGTGAGTGGTTTCCACAAACCTTTGTAAAATTCTGTATGCTCAAATGCTGCATTTCAGAGTGGACTAGCAATGGGTTAAACTGCATTTTAGCTGTCACCTTTTCTTGAAGAGTATTTAAATAAAAATGTACAGGTGATGCATAGGAGTATGAATTGAATTTACTATTTAGTGAAAGAAAACGAGGAAACACCCAGAGCACAGACACATCAAGTCACTGTCACAGTTTGTAGTTAGAAATAGTATAGATTGTGTGCTGACTTGTAAATGGTCTGATTAGATATTATCACAGTTTTGGCTATTACCGTAATTGAATCTGTGCTACTTTATTGGTAATGAAGTAGGAGACATGGAAGAATTATATTTATATCTACAATTGTGTCTTAGATGATTTAAAGCATCTCTTACAGATCTATTTATTTTATACAGGTGAATTATTGTAGAGAAGAAGCCCCTAAATTCTTATAAGGAAATTTCAGGGTTTAGAGCCACAGGGAAATAATTGATGAGAAGACATCCCATGTAAAATGAATTACTTTTGTGTTCCATACTGATAGAACTGAGTCCTGATCTTGCTTCCCTAGCAATGAATAAGAATTCTGTGCTAAGCTATGTGACTTACTGTGGGCCAGGTTTTTTAAGTCAATTCAGCATAGACTGACAGGGTGTCATACATCCCTTGCAAATGTAGTTTGTGTTGCTAGGCTGGCTGTTCTCTTGGTAAGGGACTAAGCTGCCTTGTTCAGCCCCTTGTGGAACTGGGAATTTGTCCACAGACTCCTCAGTGGGGAACCTGGAAACTGCACCTGACTAGAAGCTACAGCTGTCTCCAGCACCACAGAATATGAGATGTTGTGAGGTGCTTCTTCTTCTGTGACTACAGAGCCTTTCAGGGATGTTTGTTTTCAAAATTTTTCTGAGAATGTTATTCTTTCCCTTCTGTTAGTAAAATGAGGAGGAAATGCATAAATGTTTTAAAGCTTTCTTATTTTTCATAGAAACAGAGGGACATAGCTGGAGTTGATTCTGTTGCAGTACACCTTCAAAGTCTCACACTTTCAAGTTTGCCCAGAAGTGCCAAGTCTCATTAGAAATCAGTTGGAGTTTGCTATTTTTTTTCCTTTTCTTTTTTAGCCTGTATAGATCAAAAGTTTGGTTCACAAGTCTTCTCAGTAATGCATGGTTGAGTATTTTCTATATTTCATTGTTAGGTTAGCCAAAACTGTGTATATTAAAAGAATAATAAACTCTTTTCCAGAAGGGTATTTATATGAAAATCATGAAACTATCCTGAAGCACTACACAACTTACAAATATTAGCTGGACTAATAAAGAAGGTGAGAAGGTGTAGCAAGTGACTGAAGCAATGTGGTCTGGTTTATATGCTCTAGATGGAATGCAGACAAGTAATTTTACATAGTTTTTCTTTCTGATCAGACATGGCTTATACATTCAGGATGGTAAAACTGGTAATGAACTTTTAAATTGCCTTTTTACGTTGAACTCTGCATGTTACTGTACAGAAGTGTGCTATGGGGTCTCCATCTGGGACATAATTAAATAAATAAAGTACCTGCTTTACTGAATCTTTTACTGAGCAGTGTTTCTGATACAGTTAATTTCTCACATTTTTTAATCTGCAGACGTTGGTAATGCTCATGGTTTTATAAAATTCAAAACTTTCAGTATTTTTAAGAGGCAGTAAAAGGACTCAAAATTAGATTTTTTTTTTTCTGAAATCAAAGTATTCATTTCAGACTTTTTTTGCTGCCATATGCTGCTGAATCAGTTCATTTCCATCTTTGTGATGGTGCATTTTGAAACAGGAGTTATATTCATTTTTTAAAAATTGTTATCGCTTGCTCTTTAATAAGCATATTTAACCACAAATTTCAGCATATTAGATACCATTCTCATGTTAAGAATGAATCATAAAAATCTTTTTAGCACTATTAATATTGAAATGGTAGAAGTATCACTTTGTATTTTTCTCACTGTTAAAAAGAAATTCAGAAATGTACAACTCAAACAATTAATACTCACGTATAGTAATTTCCAGTACTTTTAACCTAATATTTTTTTTTTTTTTTAATTAACCATAGAATATACAGGTAACAATTTTTGGGAGACTTGACTGTTTCCTGGTATTCCAGACTTGCAATTAAATACGTCCTGTAATTCTGATTTTTTTTTGGCAAATAAGAAAAAGTGGTTTAAAACTTGTGCAAGGGAGTTTTCAAGATCTAATGTGCTTGGCTGCACTGTGCAATATATGAGTATGAGTTGGGCAATTAGCTGGAAGAAAATATTAATTGACATTTTCCATTAATTTGTAGACAGACTCATGTCTCCGGAATTAAACATTAGCATTATGAGCTGCAAGTGATGCATGGTGGAAGTTCAAACCATTTGATCATAGTACACTTTCAACATTTTTAAAATGATCCTAAGGTAGTTTCATCCCTGTCTCAAAAATAATCAGGCAGGCGAGGAATTATTCCCATTTCAACTGTGCAGCAACTCTGGGGAAGACATGCACTTTCATGGTTTGAGGCATGAGAGAAAAATATTCCCCTTTCAATAAAGTGTTAAATCATTCTCTCTGTTGAGAAGTAATGTATTGTTGGCAGCACACTGTGTCTTTTTTTCTTACGAGATCTATCACTTCTGGCTGGGGGTGGATGTGTAGGGTGTGGTTTCTCTGTGAGCTTAGATTTCTCAGCATTAGCTAAGAAATGAAGGAAAGTCATTAGCAGATGTCCTGGAAGCTGCTGAAAACAAACATTTTCTGCCACATCAACAGCTTTAGTGACCCACACCTACTCTTGTAGCCATCCATTTCAGACTAAGATGTCTTTTTTCCTTTGTAGGAAGGTG